TGTGTTCTTTATTTCTGATATGTCATTTTTCATTTCTTTTTGGTGGTTTTTAATTTCCAACTGGTTGATTTTCAACATCTCTATGTCTTTATTCATGGTGCTCATCATGTCCGTACACACGCTGTTGAGCTTCCTCAAGATCATGGCTTCGAATTCTAGTTCTGTTAACTTGCTTAACTGCACCTCATTTATCTCATCTTCGGTAAAGGTCCCTTGTTCTCTCATTTGGGATTTGTTTTACCATTTTGGCGATCTCAGTGCGCTTTGGAGCCTGCCAAATTTTCCCTTGGGTGTTGGTGTTCTGCTGTTCGTGGCTCCCTCTACTGGGTTTGGATGACTATGGGAGGACCCACGTTAAACACCACTGTCAAGTCTTACCTTCCTGGGCAGAGTTGCTAGCCCAGGAAGGGTTCAGTTATTCTCTAGCTTTTTGCCTGGAGGCTATTAGTCTCAGTTACTTGAAGAGCCTTGGCTTCTCAGTTGAATGAAAAACTCCCTCAGGTGTTCAGAGTAAGTGGATTTCCTGAGGGTGGGGCAGATGCTTGTTGTTAATGAGCCTAAATTTGCATTTCAATGGCCACTGGGTGGGGATAAATCTCTGAGGGAGGGGCCACTGCCTCTCCCCAGGGCCCTGGGAAGGAGTAAGATGGCCATTGTCCTGCGTGGCTGCAATCAGCAAAAGCTCTGAGCACCCTCCAAATCCCAAGTGTCCCCACACAGTTCCAGTCCAGTCCACCCTCCCTCTGCTGGAGCCCAAGGTGAGTGGCTGTGGCTGTTTTAGCATCGTCCCGGCTCTGCGCTGTGGAGCCGCCTGGGAGTGTGACCCGAGGGCGCCGCTCCCAGCTAAGGCTGCTGCCGACCGTGGGCTCCCAGCCCCCCTCTTGTGCCTCGGCAATGCTACCAGGATTGAGTCAGTGTCCCTGGTTACATGATCCTCCAAGCTGCTTTTCTGTTGCTTTTTCCTGACGATTTGTCTTTATTTTCATTGTAATTCCAGTTTGGTCTTGGGAGATGGTCTGTGTAGCTTCCATTCACTCCGCTGCCATTTTGGAATCCGATATTTTTCTATTTATCATCGGATAGAGTGAGAGGGAGGGAGGGAGAGAGACACAGAGAGAAATATCAATGTGATAGAGCCACACTGCCTTGCTGCCTCCCGCATGACCCAACCAGGGCCAGGGACAAACCACAACCGAAGTATGTGCCCTTGACTGGAACCAAACTGAAACTCATTGATTCGCTGACCGACGCTCTAACCGCTGAGCCAAACCGACCAGGGCTCACCTGCTGTTCTTAAGGGAGGTGCTGTCAGGATCCCAGGCCCCCAAGGCTTGGAGAAACCCACTGGATATCTCCTGTAGGCCCCACCATGGCCAGTGGGCACTTGGCCTTTACCCATGTCCCTTCCTTGCAGCCAGCCTGTGTCCTAACTGAAGCCAAGATCCGGCAGAAGAGAGGGGTCAGCGCTGAGGCTTAGAAACTGGGTTTGAATAAGGAGACTGGCTCTCCCCCATCTTCATGCCCCCAACACACACACACACACACACACACACCACGCATACAGTGCATACATGCGTACACACACACACATGCACACACACACATATGCATGCACACACACATGTACACACACGCACGCACACACACGCCCCAGATTTTAGCTAAGCTGTTCCTTTCTGTAGCATTTCCCACCACCCGACACCATGTTACCCTTTTATTTGCTGGATTTCCAATTAGGAGTGTTCGTCGATGAATAAATGCCGAAACAGAATGCAGTCCATCCACACAATGAAACATTATCCTTCAGCCTTAAAATGGAAGGAAATTCTGACGCAGCTACAATGTGGATGAACCCCTGAGATGTTATGCTATGTGCAATGAACCAGATATGAGGACAAACACCCTCTAATTCCACCTACACGAGGTTCCTAGTGTCGTTCTATTACAGAGGTGGGCAGGAGAACTGTGGGTGCCGGGGTGGGCAGGAGGGAGGAGTGGGGAGCGAGTGTTGAATGCGTGCCGAGTTTCAGTTTTGCAAAATGAAAATCGTCTGGAGATGGAGGGTAATGATCATTGCACAACAATGTGAATGAGCTTAATGCCGCCCAACTGTACGCTTAGAATGATGTAAACGCTCAATTGCATGTTATGAATACTTTACCGCAGTGAAAATGATGGTCAACTCCCAGCCCCTGAAATGTGCTGTCTCCCTGTTCTGGATGCTGAAAGTCTGAGGTCAAGGTGTCTGCACAGCCAGGCTAGCTCCGGGGAAGGAGGCTTCCTGGCGCCCCCTAGCTTCTGGAATCTGCCTGCAATCCTTGATCCTTGGATGGTCACTCGGGTCATGTGGCCATCCTCTCCATGTCTTCACTGTGCTTTTCCTCTGCACATGTCTGCCGCTGGTCTACGCTTCCCCTTCCTGTCAGGACACCTGTCCCGTGGGATCCAGGCCCTCCCGAATGCCCTCATTTTAACTGAATCACCTCTGTAGAGACCCTGTGTTCAAACACAGTCACATCTTTCTGGGGACACAATTCGGCGCATCAGTTAATGTTTGCTGAATTCATGGATGCATTCGAGACCTGGCTGCGTCTCAATAAATAAGAAAAGAATTGCTAACAGTTCGAGAGTATGAGATCTTATCACGAGACAGGCACTGTCCACACTGAGCTCTTTCGACCCTCCCAACAAATCCAAGAGGTAAGTGTTGCATTTACCAGTCACTCCATTTTATAGAAGAGGAAGTGGGGGCTCAGAGATTAAACAACTTGTCCAAAGTTGCACAGCCAGTGAGTAGCAGAGTTGGGCTTTGTGAACTGAGCCCCTATTAAGCTCACTGGAGGCCCCTCTATCTGCTGTCTCATTAAATTCAATCCTCACAGTAATTTTTGTAAACAATTTTTTCCTTTATTGATTTTAGAGAGAGAGGAAGGGAGAGGGAGAGAGATAGAAATATCGATGAGAGAGAACATCGATTGGCTGGCTTCTGCATGCCTCCCTCTGGGGATCAGGCCCACAACATGGGCATGTGTTGCCCATGGGAATCGAACCAGTGACCTCTTGGTGCATGGGTCAATGCTCAACCAGTGAGCCACACCGGCCAGACACAATTATTATTATTATTTTTTTTTAATCCTCACCCGAGGATAATTTTTTCCATTTTTTTGTTCAGACAGAGTGGGAGGGAGAGAAAGGAAGAGAGAGAGAACCATCAACGTGAAAGGGACACATCAAGTGGCCGCCACCCGCATGACCAACCAGGGCCGGGGACAAACTGCAACCGAGGTACGCACCCCAAGTGGGAACCGAACCCGGGTCTCCCTGGACCACAGGCCGATGCTCTAACTGCTGAGCCAAACCGGCCAGGGCCAGACACAATTATTTTTGAAATGGATATTACTCTTCTATTACAGACAGGAAGCTGAGGCTTAGAGAGGTTTTCTTGCTGTGTTCAAGATCACACAGCAAAAAAGTGGTAGAGACAGGATTTGAACTCAGAACTCAGGGCTCTTAAGACTCCAAAGCCTTCACCCTGCACCACTTCTTCCTCTTACTTCAGATTTCTCACATGAAAATTGAAGTTTTCTTCTCCTCCACACCTGTAAGAACTTAAACATTGTAGCATTTATAATTCATTATACCCTTTGTAAAACGATCCAATTGTGAGAAGCCTTCCGTCGAGTTTCTAACCCACACAAAGCCCTTGGCAACTGTACCTCTTCTATTATTTATTATTTTGGCATCTACATGGACTGCAGTATTTTCAAAGCCTTTGATATTTATACCCCCTTCATTACCTCACTCCGAGATGTGAGGCCAGAGATTATCAGAAACCTCTGTGTTCTCTAGACTCATTCATTCATTCATTCATTCATTCATTCATTCATTCCCATGACCCTGAACATTGCTGTGTTCTTCTCAATGCTTCCTGAGGCCCGCATAGGCCTCCCATGAACCAGCTGCGTCCTGGTGGGCAGGCTGCAGGGGCAGGAGCTCTGGGCACGACAGGTGAGCAAAGTGACGGAACGGAGGCAGGATTGGCTCCTAGAGGGGAAGGGGGCAGCACCGGGTCCCAGAAGCCAGCAGTCACCTGACTGTCAGGCAGGACACTCTCTCCTCTTCCCACTGGGGCCAGAGGAGACTCACACTTAAACTTGGCACATACCCCACTTTCTTGCCCTTTGCACGCACCACCTCCTGACATTATGTTTACAATCTGCGTGTTCATTTCCTGTGTCTCCCATGGAAGGGGCACTGTGGGGGCAGGACTGTTTTTTCCCTGCTGTGTCCTTAGGCCTTGACTAGGGTCTGGCAATCACTGCACTCACTGCACAAACTACACTCACTGCACTCGCTGCATTCACCAAACCCACTGCATTTTTCAGTGCACTCACTGTTCCACTGCACCGACTGCATCACTGCACACTGCGTCACTGCACTCACTGCACCCTGTGCACTGCGTCACTGTGCACACTGCGTCACTGTGTTGTGCCACTGCGCAATGCGCACTGCATCGCTAAACTCACTGCACACTGCGCCACTGCACTCACTGTGTTGCTGTGCCCTGCATCACTGCACACTGCATCTCTGCACACTGCTTTACTGTGCACTGTCACTGTGTCGCTGCGCACTGCATCACTGCGCACGGCACACTGCATCTCTGCACACTGCTTTACTGTGCACGGTGTCACTGCGCACTGCACCACTGCGCACGGCACCTCTGCACACTGCACCTCTGCGCACTGAATCTCTGCGCACTGCACTCATAGAAAGATGGAAGGAAGGATGGATGGACAGACGGACTGACAGACAAAAGCAGATGCTACAGGCCGACAGACACCAGACCTATCCGTGTGGGTGTGCCGGAAGGACGGGAGCCCAGCGTGGAAGCCCAGCTCACAGCCTCCTTTGGGCATCAGAACCCTCGAGCCCGCACTCCTCACCCTGCCCCTCCCACAGCGTCCACTCAGCCAGGCCGGAGCAGGAGGTGACCACAGGGAAACATGGCAGGTGGGGGATCGGCCCCAGGCTTTATTGAGCAGATTCTGGGGAAGGGTGGACAGCAGGCCCTCGCCCCAGCCCTGAGCCTCGTCTTCTTGCCCTCGCTGCTCTGGAGCGGGCTGGGCCCCGGGCCTGGACGTCCTTCAGCCGCTGAGGAAGCAGCCCCGCTTGTGCCACTTCTGGTCGCGGATGCGGCGCACGGACTGCAGCTGCGGCTGGGCGGCGCCCCACTCGTTCCAGTGGCGGCAGGCCCCCCGCGCAAACACGTACTGGCGCCCGCGGTAGCCAGGGAACTCATAGCCAACCCACCTGCCGGGTCCCAAGGTTCGGGTGAGGCCCGCCAGCCTCCACCTTCCCTCCAGCCCAGCCGAGCCTTCACAGCCAGCCTCTGACACGCTCTCACCTGCCTGAATTCCCCCTTGGCTCCCCAGTGCCCTTGGGGGGATTCAAACTCCTTACCCTGCTCGCAAGACCTTCACTCTACATCTCTAGCCTCATCTCGCGACATTCTCTCTTCACACCCCATGCTCCAGCCTCTCTGATTCTGTTCTCCTTGGACTTGTGTATCTCTGAGCCTTTGCACATGCTGTTCCTTCTACCCGAGACACCCTTCCTTGCATCATCTTTATCCCTTTCCCTCTTTCATTTGTTTTGTTGGGTTTTTTTTTTTTTTTATCTCAATTCAGATACCTCCTCCTCCAGAAAGCCCTTCCTGATTCCCTCAGGCTGAACCAAGTGCCTCAGTGGGATTCCCAGAGCCCCTGGGCACAACGAGCTGTGAATACCTGTTTCCCCTTCTCCCCATCGGACTATGGAGTCTTGAGGGCAGAGGTTGTGTCATTTTTGCCCCCCTACTCTGCACAGAGTAGATGCTCACTAAAAAGGGTTCAATAAATTATCAGGGAGAGCTGGCACCTTTCAAGGCTCATCCCCCAGATCACAAGCCCACAAATGAGCAGTAGTCACCGACACAGGGAAGGTGGCTCTAAGATTGCATTAACAGAGATAGGGAGCCTAGAAGAAGGGAGGTGATGCGCCTGTTCCCCAAGTATTACTCAGGCCACAGCTTCACCCCCTGCTAAGAAGGACAAGGGCTGTGTAGAGGGAAGAAAATTCTGAGCATTAGAAGTTGAGAAAGGAAGTGAAGACAGGTATGGGAAACAGACCTCACCTGATCTTTAAAAAGGATTAAACTTTCTGTAAGTTAAGGCTTCCCGGAAATCCAGTGGCACAACAGTGTGAGCACCTGGACATCCGCACCATGAGGGCTCAAGTGGGGCTCCGAGCAAGGGGAGAGGCGGGGCAGCTGACCCAAATGCAGGGCCCAGGCTGAGGAGCAGGGGACTGTCTAGGACACTGAGCAGGTCTGTTGGAACCAGAGGCGGGACTGACCGGAGGACGGGGCGGGAGTGGGGGTTGGGTCCCTTACGTCCCGCTGACGGCCCGGACGCTGGCCACGCGGTCCTGGAAGCCGTGAGCCCAGAGGCTGGGCACGTCCTCGTCCACTATCTCCATCTTGCGGCCGCCGAAAGCCGGGCTCTCGAACAGATGGAGCTTGTGGTCCGGACCCTCCTGGGGGCAAGACCGGCATAAACCGGCTGCTCCCATGCCCAGAACAGGGTGCAGGCAGGCTCCAGGTACAGACGAAACGTGTCAGCACAAGATGACACCCACCCCGAGCCCCCTGCCTGAGGGGGATGCATAAGGTTCCTTCACCCCCAAACCAACTGCAGGACGGATGGGGGCTTGAGGGGTTTCTCCAGAGGGGCCCTTTCGGGTCTCCTTCAACCCCATCAGTTAGCAAATAGGGAAACCAAGGCCCAGAGAGGGGAGATCAAAGTTAGTGATGCAGGGACGGTCCTGTAGCCAATCGGAGTCTGATCTGGTGTTCCCAGCTCCCCTCCCATGGCCCCCCAGGAGCAGCAGGGATTGGGGCAAGAAGGGGCTGGTGCAGCCGAGTGTGACTGAAGCAGGTGGGAGAGGAGAGCGACATTTTAATGTCACGTGGGCTGCGTCCCTTTCAGGTGTTGGGGAAACGTGAGCAAAGACCTTGAGCTGTTGTGCGGTTCCTTTCCGGAGTCATTTTCCAGGCTGTATTTCTTTAACGACAGTACTGGTCTGAGACGGGACCACAGGGCTCAGCATTTTAACAGGATCACAGAGGGAAGGGCCAGTGCCATGCTGGCTAATTCAGGGTGCAAATCCTGATGTCCCCAGCCCCAGCCCGGGGGCCATCCAGCAAGTCCATACAATCGTGTGGGTCAGAAATGATGAGGGCCCTTCCCAGGCCAGGTCCACGCCGGCCGAGCCCTCTGCCAAGCCTGCAAAACGAGGCGGCCGGACCGGTTCCCAGCACATCCCGCTGCCCAGTGCTCCCTGCAGGGGGCAGCAGCTGTACTCACGATGTGCAGAGGCCGCAGGGACAGGAGGCTGTCACTGTGGTGGCTGTTGGACCAGGCCTCCCAGCGAGGGTAATCCCCCTTCTCCAGGACAAACTGCTCCCCACGGTAAGCCCTGCACTCAAACGCCAGCCACCTGCAGGAGAAAAGAGACCCGGGTCGCCTCTGCCACAGGTGAGGGAGGACCCCAGTCTAAGTGGGAGAAGAGCCCATAGCTGCCGACCTTTGACCTTGCACCCTCCTGCCAACCCTATTACTGATCTTTGATCCCATTATTGAAGGATCTACCAGTGCATACTAGGAGCTGAGACTGAACCAGAAAACCACCCTGGGAAACAGTATTGAGAATCTATTTCATGTGCAGGCTCTGTGCAGTGTGCTCAGACCAGCCCTTTGCACAGCGTCAGGTGCACAGTAAGTATTCCGTGGCTGACATTACTGTTATTACTATGATTACGATTACCATCATATTGTATTGTTTATGTCCACCATTCATTTCACAGAAACTCTCGCGGAAGCATATCCCATTTGGCAGGTGAGAAAACAGAGGCCCAGAGGGTGAGCACCTCGCCCAGGATCACACAGGTGGTTAGTACCAGAGCCTGGACTTTCAGTCCAAGGCGAGAATTGAGTCCAGCCAGGCACCTGCTTGCCGTGTGGATGTGGACCTGACATGTAAACACTGACGCCTCAGTTTCTTCACCTGTCCAGTGGGGATAAGAATGGCACGTCTATCTTAGAAAAGAGGATTCAGTGATATAATGCATGTTACGTTTTAGGTGGTGTAATTATTACTGAAATTATACTGATTAAATCCCACTGGTCAGGCACTGAGCTAGGTGCTGGGCTGTCTCTTCTGTTCTCATTCCACTGTACCCTGCTATTTTCCACAGAGATGGGAGCTAAAAGGATTCTAAGAGAATCACAGGTCCATTCCCCCATTTTACAGATGGGAAAACTGAGGCCAGAGAGGGGAAGGGAGCTGCCTAAGGCAGATCTAGAGCTTGAACCCAGACCTCCCGACTCCCAGAAGGCTCTGCGCTCTGAGGAGAGTCTGGGGATCCCAGTACTCACGGCCCCGACTCCACTTGGATGGAGCCCACCTTCTCCAGCAGGCTGTCAGTCAGGTTGGGGCACTCGGCCGAGAGCTCGCACCGCTTGCCCTGGAAATTCTCCATTTCGTACACGGTCACCTGAAAAGGGCAGCATCCTGAGCGTCGCACTGGGCCGGAGCCCCCAGCCCCTGCCCTGCGCGGTCCTCCCGTCCTCCATGGGGCAGAGGAGGGAGGTATAATCATAGACTCCAACAGCTGGGCCTTGTCCCAGCCTGGAGCCAGCACCGTTGCAAGCTTGCACTGCTCCCTGGTGGCCGCTGGCGGGACTGCCTCCAGGAACTTCAACCCAGGATTGCCACTGTGGCAGGAGCCAGTCGGGGACCTCTTAGAGTAAAATGACCCCAGGAAGGACTGTAGGCCAATGAAGCCGCCTACAGCCAGGAGGGAATGTGGACCCCGTCCTAAACTCTTCCACTAAAGCCAGACGTCTAGATTTTCCTTACTGTGAAATAACCTGTTTTAAAAGCCTGTGCAGGACAGATGAATCACCAGTTTGCAACCCGTGGGGTGACCTTCGCAAAGGAAGGTGTTGCTTCTCCTCCACCTAGAAGCACAGACTGTCTCTGTAGGAGGTCTCTGGGGAACATCTGCTCTGGCTTTTTTATAGAAGGCTCAGAAAGGGTAAGTTACTTGGCCTCGGGTTGCACAGCAAATAAAGGAGGCCCCTAGAGGTCATTAGATAACACTGCACTCTGCCCAAGAAGCAGCTGGGGGTCTGCAGGGCAAAGCTAGCCCAATGTCACCCCCGATCAGGCCCAGAGCCAGGCAGGCCTCTCTGCTGCTCTTCCCTGCCTGTCTCCCCCACCCTGGTTGAAGTCATCAGCACATCCTCAGAAATGTCCCTGTCCCCAGGTATCTCCTTAACCAACCCGTGTGTGGGCAGTCTGGAATTCAAGCACCCAGGGACAGCTTAGAGAGAGCAGAGCCCACAAATCCCAGCTCTGTTGCTGGCATTGCCAATGGCGCTGCATTTAGCTCTCACACCGGCTCTGGGGCCCAGGACTGTGGGCATGGTCCCCATTTTAAAGATGAGGCTGTTAAGGCCCAGAGAGGGCCAGGAACTGGACCGGGTTCAGCAGAGAGTCCGTGCCGTGACTCCTGAAACTCCCAGGCCCCTGTGCCCCAGGGAGGGTGTGTGAAGCCAGTTCCATCTTGCAGACAAGGGCACCAAACAGGGAAGAGATGGCGACATCATGAAACACGTTGATGGAAGAGGGATGAAGTGACCGCCTGCCCCCGGCTGGCTCCTTTCTGGAGCGAAGCTGACCCTGAGACCTAAGAGCAGCCCTGGGCCCAGAGCCCCAGGTCCCTCCTTGCCCAGTACCTTGTAGCTGCCCCCAAGGCCTCCATGGCTCTTGCCAGCTGCAGTCTGCTCCGGCACTCCGAGCTCTGCCATCTCCCGGGGGCACCTCTGGCTTCAACCACAGGGCAGCGGGTCACCAGGGCCATCTGACGAGGAGCTAGGGCACTGTGCTGCCCCTGGGACATGGCCACTGCTCACGGCCTACAGTCAGTCTCTCGGTCACTCAACAAACACCCACTGAACACCTACCATGGGTCAGTGCGATACGGACCCCCATTTTGCACAGGGGAACCCCGAGGCTGGGATTGGGCCTCATTCCAAAGCCCATGCCCATCACCCATACTCAAATGCTCCCCCAAAACAGGGTCCTCAGAGCTCGGTGCAGGCACCACCTCTAGACCAGGTCAGGGGCAGGCCTCAGGGGTTCCTCTGCAGGGTCTCCACCTCCACACCCGGCTGCAGTCTCTAGTTCACTCATTACTCTGCTCACCAGATTCCACAAACTTCCAGTCAGTGTCTGGCCCTGTGCTGGGTGACCCGATGCACAGGAGACCACAGACCACTGGGAGATGGACAGACAGACATCCGGAGGAAGCGTGATGCGGGACCAGGTCCTGGGACACCTGCTCCAGCCTAGCTTCCATTCATTTGGTTATTCATTCCATACACACGGAGGGAGCGCTTACTGTGTACCAGACACTTAAAGAAGCAGACACAGCCCCTCCGTCCCTACGGGGTCTGCGACACACAGCACAGGCCCAGCAGCAGTCACGTGGAAGGGCTCTCCCGATTGTCACACACAGACACATGGGACTGCTCTCCAGTTTATCAGCACAGCCACACGCATGCACACGCAAACTCACACAAACTGCCATGGTCATTGTACTCAGTGACACCCCACCCACCGCACAAAGATAGCTTCTTGGTCTCTTTCACACACACACATGCACACACACACACGCCCATACACACATGCACACACACACACACATCTCAGACATCCACAGTACTCCACAGGCACCCATATCTACACTCCGCACCCGGCTGCCACCCACCCCGGCTCCCACTCCCACCCTGGCACACACAGTTGCGTGACCCGTGTACTCAGAGCACAGGTCCGATGATGCACAGCCTGCTGGCTGGCTGCGGCTGGTGCCCGGTCTCAGCAGGAGCTAGGGCCCGGTCCAGCTCAGGGAGGACTCTCAGAACATGTGGCAGCCCCAAATGTGCCCAGTCCCCTTCCTGATCTGTGCTCAGCCTTGGCCGGCTCTCTGCCCTGAGCACACGCCCAGGGATTCAACCCCGGCCACTGCCCTCTGACAACAGCTGGGCTTGGTGGCTGCTTCGGGTTCTCCCTCTTGGCTCCAACTCTCAAGGGGATGCCCAGTTCAGGCAGGGGCCCATGGAGACCACCCAAGGTCTGGGCCTGCTGGGACAGCTCTTGCCTCCCGCCCTGCTTGTTCCAGAATGAACCTGTTGCTGTCGCCTCGGGAGGAGCGGAGGGGCCGGCACTGTCTGCAGACACCCCGCCTTTGCAAGGAGTGTCCTATTTATGGGCGCTTTCCGACAGCCCAGCACATCCGGCCTGCTGAGACAGCGGCCTGTCCGCCCCATTTCGTTCGGGCTGTTTCATTTCAATAACGGGCCCTGGGAGGCCCCAGTGCCTGTGTGTCCTCAGCCACGGCCTCTGCTGACTCCTGGGGGCAGATCGGCCTCATCAGCTTTGTGGGAAGCCCGACAGCGCCCGGAGGAAGGCATGGGGGTGTAAAGTTCTCCGGTGGCCTCCCCCTTCTTTGCATGCCATCCTTGGAAAGCCTCCAGTTCTTGAAGTGAGGGACCCCGAATCCCTCAATGTTTCTATGTGCCACGTGACCTAAATTTTAAGTCAGATCACCTTAAATGTAACTTTCAAATTAGGTATGAATCCACCCAGCCATTTCCATGGGACGCTGTAACAGACCCACCGAAGGCTGACTGTCTTCGTATCAAAGGCATATGCAAATAACAACTCTGTGGGTTGAAGACCTACTATGTGCCGGTCTCTGCGCCAGTTTCATGAACATGTTCACTCCTCACCCAGCCCTCGTAAGGGGAGGAGTTATGGTCCCTATCTCATAGATGGTTTGGGGGGACTGAGTTCAGAGGGGTGAGGTCGGTTCCCTAGGTCACATAGCAGAGAGGACAGGGGCTGGCTTTTAGCCTTGACAGAAATAAAGGTGATGATGACAGTCACCTTATTTATGACCAAAGAAACAGACCCATGCATTTTCTAGGAAAGGTATCTAATGATTATTAAATGAATAAAATGTGGGCGTGTGAACTATTAGGCAACGGGGTTTTCTTTTGTTGTTGAAAATCCTCAAGTCAGCATAAACCCCGTTCTCCCCACATCCCGGAGATGTGGGTAGGACACCGGGTGACAGAAGGACTTGGGAACCAGGTGGACCCGTGTAACCTTGGGTGAGTTCCTGAAGGTCTCAGAGCCAGGCCCTACTGAAGTCACGGACAGATTGCGAGAGCACAGCACCCAGCACCGTCTGTTCCTGTTGATTCTCTGCGGGCCCTGCCTACTATGGACACTTCACACCAAGAGGGTACTTCTGGGGGTGACCATGGGAAGCAGAGTTGGTTTCGACCCACCTGCTCGGGAGATGAGGGGAGACAGGTGGGGGCAGCCTACCTGAGGGTATGACTCCCTCCCATCAGATCTGGCAGGATGCTGAGCACCTACTATGCGCCTGGCGGTCCTGTGCGCATTTCCTTAGCCGAGGGCTCTCGGCCTCCACACTGCTGCCAGCTGGGGCCAGATGGTTCCGTGGCGGGACTGACCCGGGCAGAGTAGGATCCTGAGCAGCACCCCCGGCCTCCACCACTGGATGCCAGTAGCATCTCCCTTCCCTCCCTGAGACAATCAAACATGTCTCCCCTCACTGCGGACGTCGTCTGGGGGGCACCACCCACCCAGGGGAACCGCTGCCGTAAACCCGTGCCCACGAGTGTTGCTCTCACCACCCGTTTAGAGCAGTGATGCTCAGAGACACCCCACAGCGGGAGGTGGCAGAGTGGGGTTCAGCCCCACGCTGGACGGAAAGCCTGCTCTGTGTCCCGGGGCCCCTCTCCCACTGCCTGTCCCCCGCTCGCGTGGCACAGACGAGACGGACTCCGCCCGGGAGAGCCCACTCGTTCCCGCACAGACACGCCGACTTCTCCAACGCGTCTCGCATCAAAGCTTTATTTGCTGTTTTCGTCGTCTGACCGCAACACCTCTGTACACGCGACGGCCACCTCGTTCCGGGGCAGTCGGCTGGATTCCCAGCTGCTCTTATGTGCGTAGGGAACCTCTGTCCAGTTACAAAATAGAGAAGCACTTGTCGACATCCAATACTCTGAGGTCCAGGAGCCCCGTTGTGCTGACGTTAAAAATATAGGCTTTTCTCTGATGAGTGCTCAGTCGCACGAGCGGAGGTTCTTCCTGGGACAAGAGGGCCTCTCGTCCGCCTTCCACGCAGAACTCCCGGGCTTGTGAATTCTAAGGCAACTCAGGGATGGCGGGCGGGAGGCTCCCTTCCCCACGCCAGGCTCGGGCTCCTTCCGTCGGGGCTCAGCCCTCTGACGCGGGGACCCAGGAGAAAGACCAGGAAGATATATATACAGTCTGTGTGTACATAGTCTTACCAAGCATTCTGGGGATCAAAACCATGTGGGAAGTGCACGACCTCTGGAATAGCAGTAGGATTTAGGAAACAGCACAGTACAAAATATCTCCCGTAACACAATATATTACTTCTGTGAGCCCCCTTATTTACAGGATCTATAAGGCTATGTGGAATGAGATCGTTAAAAAGCTCAAATTCTTCTTTAGATAAGGGCGTCGTGTTTTTGAGCAGGGGTGACGCCGCCAGCGATTGTCGGGAAAGTGCCCGTCCGGTCCCTGGAAGATGGCGATGGCACCCGCCACGAGGGTGGCTCGAAGGAGAGTCGGGAGGGCGGGGAGAGGCGCAGAGGCTGCCTGACCAGAAACCTCGGCTCTTTCCGTAACCTGGCTTTCTGCCCCCACTCCCTGCGGGGACCAACGCAGGCAAAAGAAGACACTTCCAGAGGGGTGGGGACAAGAGGAGACACAGGCTGGCTGGGCCCGAGCAGGCTCGTCCCTCCTGGTCTGCGTGGTGCTCCGTCTCCAGAACCCCGGTTCGCCCCAGATTCCGACCAGGAGAGTCCGGGCAGCGGCTCAGCACAGAGCTTGGACGTACCAGGCCCTGTGGGGTGGAGCCCAAGGCGGACCCCTTCCAGGTGTCCAGCGGGTCCTGCCTGCTTCAAGTGGCCACCCTACCTAATCACTAATGGCGACGCCCTGGGGCACCTGCTGTTTCACTTGCACCGGGCAGAGGAGGAAGGCACAGTCAGAAGGGGGCGAGGCTTCTCCAGACCGGTGATTTGCACCCCTTCCACTCGGGGGGGGGGGGGCGTATTCCCCTCTGGAGAGCTTCCTCCCGCCTGCCCACCTCGCCTCAGGCTCACCCCACAACACCAGTTTATACAAAGGCTACAGCGTCTAGCTTCCGGTACTAAGGGGCTTGTGGGAGGGGCCACAGGAACTGGGGGGAGACGCAGAGGCTGGTGAGGCAGGGGCTGGCTCGAGAGCCCTCTCCTTGGGTGGACGCTGTCTTCCACGCGGGAACGAGCCACTGCTGAGAAAGCATTTGGTTTTGCGGTGATCTGACCGCACACCTGTGGATGTCTAGCTTTGCGATCGTGCCCAGCTCCCGGGCAGTCTGGGACGCCGCGATGGAAAACGGACAAGGCAGCTATCAGCACCAGGAAGTCACGCCAAGGGTTTCTGTAACCCCTTGCACAGCCTCTGAGGTTTAGGATCTCAGATGTAGTCTCGCTCCTTAGCAATACTGAGAGTTGGCCTCACTTCCCGGGGTGCACAGAAGAAAACACATTTGTCTGAGAGCAGATGACTTGGCTTGTCCCCCTGGAAAACATCCCCATCCGACTGTCTTTTCCCCAAACCCCAGACAACCCGAGGCTGTCAGGTCAGCAGGACTCAGAACCCCCAGGTCTGTGAGGTCTCCCCACCAGAATCTCTCCGGTGGCGCCGGGTCATTCTCCACACACTGATGTCTGAGGCCGTGCCAGGAAGTTCCCAGGCCAGAGGCCTCTGCTTCCTTAGGCAACAGACCATGAGGAGGGGGCTCAGCCGGAGGGGAAAACATACCGACTTAGCAAAAGATCATCTGTCAAAATGCTGATGTACGAATGGTGTGTGTGGAGAGAGGGAGAGAGAGATTGGGGGAGGGGGCGGTACATCATAGCACTTTGCTTTCTGTGCAAGACTTTCAGGAAAGGAGAGCCACAGGCCCAGAGGACGATGGTGACTGGACTGCACAGATGGTTAAGGCATATTCAGTTAGTCTAAAAGAAGACAGGTTTCCAAAGATGACCGCAGGCTAACTCGAGAAACTCGCATACAAACCCCTGCTGTGCCCCACAGAGCTCACCCGACTTAGAAAGAGGAGAAGCACAGAACCCCTGGCCCAGCCATCTGCCGAGGCTCGGAGTGCCCGTCCCTCCTGACCTCGCCGCACCGACCCCAGGCCGGGAAGCCTGCCGTGAGCAGGTGGCGCCTGACCCGCTGTGACTCTGCCCTGTGGGGCGAGAGGAGGCTGCAGGAACCAAAGACGTTGAGAAGGATGTTCGGGGCTTGCTCTGGTCAGGTTAAAGGGGTAGACTTTGCATGTCTTCATCATCAAGGAATCAACTGGTCTTTTATTTGCAATCAAGGTGGGGAGGGGAAGGGGGGTTAGGCAAAAGATCTCCAGGGCAATCCCGCTGTCAAGTGTCTTTCTTTCCTGGTGGGTATACTTGGGCTGAAACACTAATTCAGAGCTGAGAGCTGTGTGTCATGGCACCGATGTACTCACTGCGCAGAACAGGTCATCTGCTACTGCCTGAGAGGCACCCAGGGCCCTCCAGCCGTCAGGAAAACAGAGGAAGTAGCAGCCAGGAAAGGAAGTCGGGGTTCAAAGACACTAGCAGTGTCCTAAAGGGACCCACTGGCCTGAAAAGCCACTGTGTCAACACTGCTACATGGACAATGCAAGTCAATCGAAGCAGTTCCTGGAGGAATTAAATCCACAGAGAACTGATCAATCACTTAGGGAAGGAAGAGGATACAACTATGATCAAGCAAGGCCAAACCTCCAGACACAGACGCTCGAGGATGGGTGACCATCAACCGGTCAGTAGCCAAAGCTCAGCCCTCAGGACTCCAGGGCAGCACAGCCCCTGTCCGTGGTGCTGAAACAAACCACTCTCCAGGGCATAGGCATGTGTCTTAACCTGGAGAAAGACTGCTCTCCACCCGACTGCCCACCCGGGAAAGGAAAGCGGTGGTGACGGGGAGATGATGGGAACAGAATGATGGGCAGACAGAGACTCTTGGAGAGGTAGCCAGGGAGAAGGAAGGTGTTTTGACATCATTTGCAAATAATGGATTTATGAAGAAAGATTTTCATCTTTTGGGAAGTTGCATGGGAGGGCATGCATGTGCCCCCCCACTTCTGTATCTAGCCAGTGCTGTGCATGTATTCACGAGGAAACTGAGCCCCAGGGCCCCTCCGCAATCACAGGCTGCCCCAGCATCTCTCTCACCAACGGGCGTTTCCCAGGTATGATTGGCATAGTTTATGGCAGCTCCAGGTGGCCAGCCAGGCGTTTCTGGGATGTTTGCTGGGGCCTTGGGCTTCGCGGGTGGGGGAGGCTGGTGCCGAGGGTTTCCACTGAGAAGGAAGAGCAGAGGCGGCAAGAGGAGAGGCGAGGTGCACCTACGCTTCGTCACCCAGCACCCAGCACTCTGTCCAGAGTCCCTGGCCTGGGGGCTCTCCTCCAGAGAAGGGCTTTCAGCGAGACCCTCCCTCCCTTCATTTGAACCGAAAAAGAGCCCTTGGTCAGGTGGGGTCCAGAGCAGGGCTGTAGGAGGAAGCGGTGGGAACACAGGGGTCCCCCCTCCGAGCAGTCGTCCGAGGCCCGCGGGGGCCGGCTCTCCCGAGCCTGCAGCTCAGCTCGTGTTTGCAAACAGCTCTGGGGAAAAAGACTCCCAGGGTGGTCCTGCTGCGAGTGGGGAAGGCACTGCCATTGGGCTGCAGTCCGTGAGCCCCTGAGGCCAAGCGACAAAGGTCACGCCACTGCAACCAGAGCCCAGGATGAAGAGACCAGGAAAGTCTAGACGAGGGTGACCATTAGAATTTTTAAAAAGCCTGGACAGGGATCAGAGAACCTGAGATGACCAGATATTCCAGCAAAGCGGTCACGCCTCTCCTCCCGTTCATTAACATATCTGCATATCCATTTTCAAGGGGAATTGGCTGAATTATTGCTTTATCACCCGCTAAAGCAAACAAAAATGACACACAATAAAAGAGGTCAACTATGCACACAGCCCCACGGGAAGGGTAAACCCAAGGGTGGGGATGTTTAAAAATCGCCACTGCCGATCCTTCCAGAGGGAGATGGACTGGCGAGAAAAGTAATCAACACCCCGCCGCGAGGTACTGCCTCGGGCGCCGCGAGCAGGGGACGATGGTTCCTTCTTCCTTGGAAGAGTCCTCTTGAAAAGACCTGCCCTGGGTGGGGGAGGAGGTGCTTTCACAATTCAGGTGTTTCCCAGAACCTGGGGGACGGTGCAACCTGACAGCCGTGTTCCCAGAGCCGCTGCTCGCTGCTCGAGTGGGCAGAAACGCACATCCGTACAGAAGGAAACCGAACCCGCCGGCACGGACGTTTCTGGGCAGCCCGGTTCTTCCAGCCCGAAGTGCAGGCTGGGAGACGTGCAAATGCTTGAGGGGGGCTTTCCATCCCGATCCGATCTGGGGAGGGCCTGCGGGGGGTGGGGGTGCTGGACAGTGGTCTGCACCCCTAGGTGCAGGAGGGGCCCAGGCCGGTCACCGTGTGCAGGAGGGAGCAGCAGCAGCGTGGCCTTGTCTTGGGGGTTATGACAGTTAAGGCTTCTGTTCATTCGACGTGGCCGCGTCCCTGTCTGGAGAGGAAGGGAGAGTCCTGTCAGTAGGGGAACAGGTGGCCCAGTGTCTGTCTGCCATCAAGCCTCATTCTGGTGTCCCCTGAGACGGCCACCCCACAAGCCCAGGCCGGAAAAGACGGCGTGGGTTTTCCATTGTCTGTGGTTTTGTGGGGGTGGGAAGAGGAAGGGGCGGGGTGGGGGGGCCGGACACAGAGGGATGAATGTGAAATGGAGAGTGAGCAGGGTTCCCGCCTCTGCGTCCTCGGACGGATCTCTGGAGGCGTCACCGCAGCCCTGAACACACAGTAAGCCCAGGCCGGTCCCCATCAGGAGCCCCGGGGCACGGAGCCACCATGGGATTTACCGTTTCTTTTGGAGTTTGTGACATACTAATACACCCGCACACGTAACTAGTATGTAACATATCACGCAGCACCCCACAATCAGGCTGGTCCTGTGCCTGCAGTGTCACAAATGGATGTTCCCGGAAGGTGGGGACAACGGTGTCTGAACAGCATTAAACCCGCACAGGGCAGGTCCTGTCCCCGGCTCCGCTGCCGGAGCGGTCGGATTTCAGTTTGCGGACAAGGGGCAGCGGGCCCCTGTGCTCCCCGCGGGGCTTCCACGGAGCGTGGACCTCGAGCTCCCTCCTGGAAGTGGGAGCCCGTGAGCCCCTTTGGCCACAGGGCTGCTGTCACCCCATTTTACAGACAGGGAAACCGAAGTCTGAGATGCTCAGCTGTTGGGGACCTACACCAGGCATATCTAATCGTTTGGTCTTTTAATCTTTTTTTCCCAAGTTAATTTTTAATTATACGGGTCGTATATAAATGTAGAAATTGGGAACCTTTGGGATGAGCTGATCTGGGATGTCCTGCCCTCTCATGCGATACAAGGGGCCTGAGATGCAGTGAGACGGGCCGGCCAGGGAAGCCTTCCCCTGACTCCGTGCCCCTGCCCCCCAGGGGTCCAGCTGTGATTTCATCCCTAAGAGGAGAGGGATCACTGCCCCACCCTTTACGGACACCCACATGTGGGAACCCATCATGGTTTCCTTCTCTTTCCTACAGCGACATCCCCGACCTATGAACCTTTGCCTTCCCGCCCAACTTCCCTGTCCTCAAACTGCAGGCTCCGGCCAAGTCTCCCCACCACCGCCCCTGCATACCTGGTCAAGCTTGATTCTCATACAGGCTTTGCCTCTTCTTAGATTTCAGCTCCTTGAGCCACTGGGGCGAGGGCTCTTCTGATCTGAAACCACAGAGCCAGTGAGAGTCAGGTGTGAGCGAGAACGCGGGCACCTTGCAGGCAGGCTGTGAGGTACCCCGCTCTCCACCTGCGGTGCCCGGGTGGACGCGGAGCTGGGCACTCGCAGATGGCAGACACGCCCAGGCTGACATGACTGACCAGTAAGAAACAGCAATTAACCAAAGCACCCGACACTGGGAAAGTTAAATCCACCCTGGCACATCCGTTCTGTGAGGTAACCTACAGCTGTAAGTCACGTTTCTATAAAACCATTTCCACCCATTCATCCTGCCGTCTCTACCCATGTAAATGCCTGTGACAGTTCGTTGTACGTGTCACCTTGGCTAGGCCACGGTACCCAGGTATACGGCTAAACATTACTCTAGGTGTTTCTGTGAAGGTTATTTATTTTTTTTAAAGATGAGATTAGCGTTTAAATCAGTAGACTGTGAGTCAAGCAGATTACCCTCCACATTGTGGGTGGGCCTTACCCAATCAGTCGAAGACCTCAGCAGGCAAAGACTGACCTTTCCCGAAGAAGAGGGAGTTCTGCCAACAGACTGATGTTGGGACTCAAACTGCAACATCAGCTTTTCCCTGGGTCTCCAGCCCGCCTGCCTGTTCTCCACGTTCTGGACTTGCCCGCCCCCAAAATCATGAGAGACAATTCCCTGACATAAATCAAGCTCTCTCTCTTTCTGCCCCCCAAACCTCTCTCTTTGTGTGTGTATACATCCTATTGGCTCTGTTTCTTTGAAGAACCCTAATAAATACAATGCCCATAAGACCTAGTACATAATAACACGCTGAGTAATAAAAATGATTGTTTCGGGGAGCTAATATTCATTTTACTTTTCTTTAAACTGAAGGACACACGTCCATGCAAGTACTCAAACCACAGGTGCACAGCTCCGTGAATTTTCTCAACGTGAATACACTGAGTAACCACCATCTCAATGGTAATGTTCTTGAGAACTTTATTTTTTTTTAACTTACTTCTCAATGTGCTTTTCTGTGCTCTTAAAATTGCTCTTGATGAGAAAACACCATTTTTCACAAAAACAATAAAGTCATCATTCTTAAACTTTTTTAGAGAAAAAAATGATGCATATGAAGACTGTTGAGTGAGCCGTGGAAAGTGGATACATGAAACATGTAACTGGAAGAGCAGCTACATACAAGTTATACTCTCAACCGCGTTAGGAAAACAACAAAAAATGCCCACACATTGTATCGGTGGTCTTTGTGGGGGGTCAGACCATGATTTTATTTTCTGCTTTATAGTCTTTTTATATTTTCCAAAATTTCTATGGTGAACACATATTACTGTTTTTTTTTGTTTGTTTGTTCTGTTTTTTTAATCCTCACCCGAGGATATTTTTCCATTGATTTTCAGATAGACTGGGAGAGAGGGATGGGGAGAGAGAGAAACATCGACGTGAGAGAGACACATCCACTGGTTGCCTCCTGCACGACCCCAACCAGGGCCGGGGACTGAACCGCAATAGAGGTATGTGCCCTTGACCAGAATCGAACCCGAGACTTTCTGGTCCTCGGGCCGATGTTCTAACTGCTGAGCCAAATTGGCCAGGGCCTTGGAATCAAACATGTGTACACATAAGACCTGACCTCAGAGAAAGCTCCAGACCCCTGGACCTGGAGGGCTCAGGGAAGGTGCTGACCTGGCTGGGGGTGGGGTGGGGGTCTGCGAAGACGGAGAGGCCCCCTGGGCAGAGAGGGGTCTGGAGCACCCCAAGTAAGCCTTGCCTAATGGTGGAGGCACAAGACCAGGCCTCTGCGGTACCTCTGAGACCCTGGGCTGGGGCTCCTCCAGCCGCAGGGCTGACTCGGGGGCCAGGCCTGTAATTGTGGCGTCCCCGGAGCAAGACGGGCACTGCGCAGCCGTGGCCGTGGCCCTCTCGGCCCAACAGCCCGCTCTGTGCAGCGCCTGGCAAGTCAGGTCTCCAGGCCTCTCTGCACACGCTGTGCCCCCAGCCTGGGACCCTCATGCTGCCTGCCACCCAGTGTACACCACGACTCCGTTCAGGGGTCTCCCCTTAGAAACCTTTCCACACCTCTCTTCCTCAAGTCTGGGTTATGAGTCCTTCCTCTATGACAGGGGTCAAACAGAGAACAAGACCGTAGGCATTTCTGGCAGGTCATAGGGTGTCTGTTACAACCAGTCGGCTCTCCAGTTATATCAGGAAAGCAGCCTCAGATGACCCATGAATGAATGTGTGTGGCTGTGTGCCAATAAAACTTTATTTAAAAAGGGACAGAGGGCCCTGGCCGATTGGGCTCAGCGGTTAGAGCATCAGCCTGCGGTCCAGAGAGACCCGGGTTTGGTTCCCGCTAAGGGCACGTACCTCGGTTGCAGTTTGTCCCCGGCCCTGGTTGGGTCGTGCGGGTGGCAACCGCTTGATGTGTCCCATTCACATCGATGTTTCTCTCTCTCTCTCCCTCCCACTCTATCTGAACAAAAAATAGAAAAATGTCCTCAGGTGAGGATACAAATAAATAAAGAACAGAGGGCTGATTCCAGCCTGGGGGCTACAGTCTGACAACCTCTACCTACCATAACACTCACTAAGTGACCACACCAGCCTCACGGATACCCCTGACTCTTACACGTTAGCAGGGCGCATAGGAAGAACTCTCTCCTTTGCCCAGCGGGTCTACAAGCCAGCGCAGAGGGCTTCACACTCACGTCCTCCTTTCACCCTCGGGACCACCGGGGAACTCAACCCATTTACAGATGAGGAAAGTAAGGCCCAGCAAGCAGGTGACTCTCCCCAGGGGGTGCAGCTCCTAAGCAGCACAGCTGGGATGAAGCCCCACGCTGTGACTTAGGACTGTGCCCTGAGCCTCCGCCCAGGCAGTGCCCTTGCCGGGGCGCCCGCAGGGACAGGAGCCGCCCGGGCTTGTCTGCGCAGAGCGGCCTGGCCCAGGAACGGGAAGCTGCTCCGCGGAGGGCGGCTGACTGCGGTTACGTTTGTTTCCAGCCACGTGGCTGTGCCCTCTGTTCTATTTCCCCAGGTCTCCCCTGTTCTGCTGAGACAAAGACACATCCCCGGAGGGTGAATGCCTCAGTTTCCCCACCAGTCTGAAGACGGCTGGACTAGATCAGCAGTTCTGCAACAACGGAGCCCTGGGTGTCCGTGCAGGACGCGCAGGGAGGAGGGAAGTGGGGCTGATTCCTGGCCCCCTTCCAACCTCCGTGCCGAGACGTCCCGCGAACAAAACTCTGCGGCTCGAGGAAAAACAGCAGAATTCCACGCCACGCCGCTCCGAAACGCAACAGGCAAGGCTCCCAGAAGTGCACCGTGGACCTGGGGTGGGGGGGCCCGCACCCCGAGACCCCTCACCTCTCGTCCTCAACGCTGCTGGGCAGCACGCGACTGCCCAGCTGGAAGGGGGACTTGGGCGTCTTGGGCTGGGGGGCCCAGCCGGGGGTCTCGCTGGGACTGTCCGCCTCTGGCCTCTTGTGCAGCTGAGCCTGGGGGGAGAGAGAGCCGAGTCTGTAACCGCTGTGGTCTGGGGAAGGGTCCCACCCCACGGCATGGCCACTGCAGGTGACAACAGGGCCTCCAGACGCGGAGACACGGGGCAGGGGAGCTGCTGGCTGACCGGGGGGTCGGCGGCCAGCCTTGTTGTCCTGAGATGGAGATACGAGCCCTCGTGCAGGGGAGGCTCAGCTCAGACCCTTGCTCAACGCCAGAAATGACATGAAAAGCCAAGCTCTTGTCCACGAAAGCAGTGGCAAACCCACGGCCCACCTGGGAGGCTCCACGGCATGGAGGACCGAGGAGGAAATTCCCACAAACACCCCAGCCTTCTCCACCTTCACTCCTTCTTCACTAACGGGAAGAAAGAGCGACCTTCTGTAGCGATTCTGGGGCAGAGGAGTGCGGGGCTCCCGCACCCAGGGCGAGCAGTACGTGCCCAGGACCCTGACGGGTACTGGGTGGGCCGGGAGGGGAGGAGGGAGGCAGCCCAGCCCTGCCCTGGGATCCCACAATTCAGTTGGGATTCCGGGTTCGAGAGAACGTGACATGGCTGCAGGCAGGCTTCCCGTGTCCTTTCTGTGGACATCGTCACTTCCTGTGCGACTGTCCCGGCAGACGGGACTCCTCGCAGAGAGCTGCCTGTGCTCACGCCTGTCCCCAACGTCCAGCACGGCCTGATGCCGAGGGCGAGTCATTAGCCCTTTACCGGGGAGCACCTCGAGGCTCAGCTATGAGACCACACTGAGCAGCGGGTCTGGGGGATGAGGACGCTCAGGGTCACTGGTGAAACGCACGGAAGTCAGGTTCACAGCCCTGCGCCAGGCCAGCGTCCTGGGTCTGCTGGCTCACTCTAGTCGTGGGCGGTAATATCCTTTGGAGGAGCTGGGTGAGGGGTACATGGGAATGATCTGTACTATTTTTATAACTTCTTGTAAATCAAACTATTTCAAAAATGAGAGAGAAAGGAAGAAAGGAAGGAAGGGAAGAAGGGAGGGAGGGAGGGAGGGAGGGAGGGAGGGAGGGAGGGAAAGAACGTAAGAATCATGGGGCCTGTTCTTCTGTTTGTTTTGCTGCCGGGTCGAGAGTGGCTCTGAGCATGAGGTTTGGTACCTTCAGCACGGCCGGGTCTACTCCTGGAAACACGGGCATCCTCTGGGGATGGCTGACGGGTGTCCTCTCGGTCCGCTTCTCCTCCTCATCTGACTCTTCTCCCCTGGGGGACTTCTCTTCTGTTGCAAAGTAAAGGGCGCTGGTGTCACCGGCAGCGCCCAGGGTTGAGGCCCATGCCGCAGGTCCTTTGCACGCGACTCTCGTGCAAACCCCCCAGCAGCCCAGACAGAAGCATCACTGGACCACTTTACAGAGGAGGACAAGCTCGGGGGCTTGGTCTCATGATCTTTCTCCTCCACAACTGTTGCTGAAAGATGCTGACATCAAGGCAGGACGGGTTTCCTCTTGGGACTGGGAGCGGACAGACTGGCTCCTGGCTCGATCCAAGTCGGGAAACAGAAGGAACCCTTCGGTGGAGGCGGGAAAGGCCCGGCGGCACCGGGGTCGTGCCCTCAGGAGAGAGCAGGGGGATCCCTGTGTCCATGGACCGGCTGCCCAGAGTTGCGCCAGGAAGCCATCCTCCTTCACCCCCAGCACCCCACCCCCGAACTTAACGCCATTGTCATGCCCCCGCCTCGCAGTGGAGACTTCTGGGAGACGGACTGCTCGTCCCCAGGAGGGAGGGTGAGGAGGGTCAGCCTCCTGGAGACTCGGACACAGGATGGGGTCCAGTGAGGAGTGGGGGCAGGAGGCAAGGCCTGGTCCTCTGGAAACGGGGGCGTGTTCAGAAAGTGTACCCCCAGGCCTTCTCCAACCCCTGGCCAGTCCCTCGAGGCTGTGGGAGCCCGGAGGCAGCCATGCTGCAGCGGGACGGGGTAGTTACGCACTTTCAGGGGTAACTGTGTGCTTAGGTCACCACTTCAGCCTGTACTTGCTCCCAACGGCTCTGTGAAATTTGGCTGAGAAAACCAAGACCGTGTACACAGAGACGTCTGACTCAGGTATTTAAACATTTCCTTGAATAACAGACATGAGATGGGAGAGGGAGAGATAACCCTCCAAGCACTTAAGGAATCCGGTCAGAAGCTCCGCCCCTCACTCAGCTCCGGGCCTGGTCTGATATTCCATGGTTTGCCTTGAGCAAATCCCAAGTGACCAAAAGTCGCTATTGTAGCTTTAGGGGGACTAAGGCTGTCTACATATACAGTGAGGAGGTCACCTATGGTTTCTATTACAAGAAAAGATTTTGCTTCTTAAAATTCTTCCACAGCTCTCTATCTACAGATAAAGTCTAACTCCTTGGAGAGGAATCATGACTTTTTGCAACTTGGCCCCTGTCTACTTATCCTGCATAATTCCTGCTACTCCCAGCTTGAACCACTAAGAGAGACCCCTGCCACACACACAGAATGTTCTTTCAACACCTCTGTCCCTTTGATCCTGTTAATATTCTGTCTGGAATACCATCCCCTGGCTAATTCCTACCTGCCCTTTAAAATTCAGTTTAGGATTTGATACAAAATGCAGCCAAAGAAATCCTCAGAGGAAAATGCATAGCCTTAAATAATTCATTCGAAACCAAATAAAACTGATAATAAATAAACCGATCTTTCCATTCAAGAATCTAGAAAAAAGAGCAGCAAACCACCCTGAAGAAAGTATAGGATGAATTTCATAAGGATAAAAGCAGAAATCATGAAACCCTATTAAGTTGTGGCTCCGTCCCTGGCAACCTGCAGAGCCCCAATTATTATACCATCCCTCAAACAGAAAATTCTTAAACTTAGTTTCTAATAAGCTGTTCAGAATTAGAAATCACAGTTTCCCGGGTAATTATGTTCTAATGTCCTATAGCCTTCAAGTTAAGAAGTTCTTTCCAGAATTCAACCTCCATCCTTCCTGCTGTTCGGTGTGCTACCTGGGGAGGCGAGGGGCGTACCTGTTGAGTCCTTGAACATCCACATGCTATTGTCCTCCTCCTCCAGAGGAGACCGGCTCTCCGACTCGCTGACCCGGCTGCGCCGGAGGCAATGGGAGATGGGAGGCCGGCGGCGGCTTCTCTTGCTGAGCTGCACCCGGGTCTTGAGGGCACTTGAGTCGAGGACTGTGGTTTGCTTTGGGAGCAGCAGGGAGGAAGAGGAAGAAAAGCAAGGGAAGCATTTATTGAGGGTGCCCCCCAAGAGAGGTGTGTGTAGCTTTGCTGACGCACGAGATCCCGTTTAGGTAGCGCGTGGGCCAGCATTTCTGCATTTGAATGATAACCTAACACCTGAAGCCGAATTTCTCCATGAAACATGCCACATAGTTTGATTACGAGAATCAGATGACGCTTGCGTGCCCTGGCACTGTGCCTGGCACATCGTGGGCACACGATGGAAATGCCTTTCCCCCCCGGTAACATCATGCGAGCATATAAACCAGACCCACGCCTGCAGAGGAAGCCCCCTTCCCAAAGCAGTGGTGTTCTTTGTCTGGGGGGAATCTAGGCGGCCGTCCCTCTGAGTGTGGCCATGAAGCCTTATGCCAGGAGAGCGTGTCCCCTCTGGATTCTGCATCAGTTAGATGCTGCATCTTCGGGAGGGTGAGAAAATAGCCCTATTAGCAGGGAGGAGAATAATGAGACCTCGAGGCTCAAGGGTTGACAAGGAAAATCTGCCTGGCCCTGCAGGTGCGGCTCCATGAGCTGGGGAGGGAGAGGGCAGATGCTGGTCTGGAAGGGGCTGGGGAGGAGGCAGTTGGATCTGGGCAGCTGGCATCCTGAAGGGTACCTCTGCTTAGAACCTAGAAAAGCTGAGTCCTGAGGGCTGCCCCTGGGGACCCACACAAGGGCCACCCATGCCTGAGGGGCCTCCCCTTCTTAGAACCACTGCTGCCCATTTATAGATAGATTGGATATCCTGGTACTAGGAACACATCCTACTGAGCAAGACCTTTGTGAGAACATCTGGCAGGGCTGAGGGCAGACTTTCTGCCCACCTAACAGGCGTGGGCTAGCATCAGTCTTAGTTCGAACACCTGTGATTGTATTTGAGGCCACAGAACCCATTATGCAGGATGAGGAAGCCGAGGCTCAGGGACGTGAGGCATTTGCCCGAGATGCACAGCTGGTGTATGGCAGGTCCAAGCCTCCTGCAGACATCCGTCCCATCTTAGACTGCCCCCCGCACCCACCACAGGGTGCCTGGCACACAGATTCTACCCCCGAGAGGGGCAGTTCGTCAGGAGATGCTGAGCGAGCCTTTAAGGAGAGACGACTGTTCCCAGCACAGGCTCCCGGTCACCGACTTACATCGATGAAGGAGAAGTCGTCTGCTTTCCTTGCAGAGCAGGTGTCCGGCGGGGGCAGCCCCTCCGTCCCATCGGTGGATTCTAGGTCAGTGCTGGAGCGGTCCACGCTGGTGCTCCGCTGGTCCCTGGAGCAGTCATGCTGGTCCCCGGCTGAGGTGGTCTCCGTCGGCGAGGACAGCGAGGACAAGCGGCTGCTGGAGGGCTGTTTCCGCGCCGATGCCGCACTGCTGTCCGGGGACGGGGACTCAGGGGCCACACTACGGGGAAGGAAGGGAGGGAGACAGGGTGGTGAGGTTCCTTCTGAGAAGTGAGTATCAAGGAAAGGAGGCGGCAGGGAGCAGGGCGTGGGGGTGTTCTAGACACCAGGAAACGGGAGACAGAGCACCCCAGTAGGAGAACCCCTTTCACACAGCCAGGTGCTGATCACGGAGCCTCTGGAACACCTGGACAGGTGTGGACTGGGAGGACTGACCTCATGAAATTAAATATTAACCTCGTGAAAGATGAGGAAACTGAGGCACAGAGGTGTGAGGGGCAGAGATGACTCTAGAATTCCTGTCCTTGACCCTCTGCTACTTCCAGAATTTCTTCCCATGACAACATATTCAAGTACTGCTTGGATTATGGGAATCACATACAATAGAACATTTATAAATGAATCCAGTTGTTAAATTAAAAAGGCTCTCCTTGCCCATAAAAAAGACACCCAAGTCAAGAGCACGGGAAGGGTGTGCGGGCACACTGGACACCCTCCCCCTTAGGAGGGTCTGTCCTGAAAGACCCCGCCCCCCGCTGCACTGGTGCTTTACTTCGGGAGCACAGCCATGATTTTTGTCAGAGCTGGGGTGATTTTACTTGAAATAAGCAGGACTTTGGGATTTAGAGTGCGATTGAGCCAAATCCACAAACAAAATAAGGAGAAATACCAGAGAGCTGGCAGCAGATGGCGCTGCTACCTAGGGCTGGGAGCGCAGCAGCTCCTGGGACTGTTCCCGAAAGGGTGCTGCAGTGCCTCTGGCAGACAGGAGGGGGCGCCCACACAACCGGGAGATCCCAGGTCCCAATAAGAGCAGGGACCCAGAGAAAGACAGGCGGGGCTGTCCCACAGCCACCTAGGGTGACCTGGGATTCAGTCCTCCCTGCCTCCTGAATCCAGGAGGCTGCACTCCAGGCTTCTGCCATAGTCACCGTATCCCCTCCTGGCCAGGCTGACAGCCCAGAGCGCTACAAGCCGTCAACAATGGCCGTATTAAATGCAGACATATTGCCCAGCAGGTGTGGCTCCTGTGGCTCAGTGGTTGAGCGTAGGCCCATGCACCAGGAGGTCTCGGGTTTGATTCCCAGTCAGGGCACATGCCCAGGTTGTAGGCCCGATCCCCAGTGGGGGGCATGCAGGAGGCAGCCAATCGATGTTCTCTCTCATCGACGTTTCTATCTCTCTCTCCCTCTCCCTTCTTCTCTCTCTAAAAATAAATTTAAAAAATAAATAAATAAAGGCAGACATAGCTTATAGAGCAGTCGGTCCAATATGCTACATTTGTAAACACGTACCCCGATACATTGTAAACAATGATGAAGGCAACAGCTGTGGCTGAGAGCACTGGTGTTCACTTTCTTTACAATTATTTTTCATTGAGTTAAAACACACATCACGCAAAACTTCCCATCAGTGAGACACAGCCCACCTGCACAGCGCTGTGCAGCCTCCACCGCCACGGAGGTCCAGGGCATCATCACCGACCGGAAACCGCTCGCTGTTCAGCAGGCATTCCCCAGCCGCCCCGCCCCCACCCCCGTCCCCGGCAGCCACCAACCTGCTTTCCATCTCTCCAGATCCGCCTCTTCTATTCTGGACATTCCAGATTTCATTTACTTTACCTTTTTAATACTTTCTAAATGTCTTTTTTACAAGAAAAATGGTTTGCTCTTATAAGTACAGACGAAACAAGTTCCAATAGTACAGGACAGTGACCCCGTGCAGACGCCCCGCCCCGCGGCCAGCAGCCCCGCAGGCCCCACCTACCTCTCCCCGCTCTGGTGCTGGTCCCGCCACGTCCCATACTGGCTGTCCGCTTCCTGCACAAGGGTGTCGGTGTCCTTGGCCTCGGGGGGCCTCCTAGAGAAACACTGTTTCAGCTGATCCTACAAGGGAAGGTCAGACGAGCAGTTACCACCAGCGAAAACAGCTCAGGACGTGGTCCCAGCGGGCACTACTCATAACGCATCACCCCAGCCCAACCCGCCCCAGCTCCCGACTGCGCTGAGGTGGGTCCAGATGTCTCCGCTGGGCACCAGTGCGACAGGTGTCTGGGTTTGCCCAAGACATCACGGCATGCAGGACCGGCGGTGCTCAAGCGGGCAAAACGGACGAAGGGGCCCCCCTCCCCATCATGCAGGGTCCTGCTGGGCACCCCCTGGCCCTTCTCAGTGCCCATCTTCACCTTGCACTGCAGCCAGGCCAAACTTTTCTCCACCTTCAACGTCCCCAGGACTGATCAGTCTGGTTAGGGCACCCCCCATGTGCACCCCACCCCAGGTTCCCATGGCCACCATGCTTCTCCCTTCAAGACCATCCAACACGGTAACCCTGGAGCACTGAACTTGTGCCCAGTGTCCACCGAGCTATTCATATGTCACCTCGCTGAACGGCCGTCCCCCAGCAATCTAGGAGGCGGAGCTTATTGCCATCCCCCTTTTACAGATGAGAACATGGAGGCTGAGGAGGTGAAATGACATGGCCCCAAGTCAAACAGCCAGTGAAGTGGCAAAGTGGAACTCAAACCGGGCCCCACGTGGCCTGGATACCTTGGCTGTGCCACTACCTGCCCAGGCCCTGGTCTCTGCCCTCGGCCTGGGTCCTGGGAGAGAGAGCTGGTTGCCACAGGGCTACTGCAGGGCCCGGCCCAGCGCCCGGCAGACAGCGGGGAGCCCGTAGATCTCCATTAAACGAGCGAACTGCTGGCTTCTCAGCTTGTTCACGTGGAGAAGACAGAAGACGGAGAAGACGGAGCACTCAAGGCGAACCCCCTGGGCGGCACCGGCCACTAACAGTTCAAATGGCCTTGGCTTCTGGGCTTTGAAGGATGTTCCCAGAGACCATCTTTTGAAGACTCGAGGCCAGTAGGCAGGGAATACGGAGGGAGATGGGGTGAGGGGATGACCGCAACCTTGTCCCCAATTCCAGAAAGACCAACAGGGAGCATGTCTCTTCTGTGTCCCATTCCAGGTCAGGAGGCATATTCTGCGTATTCAGAGCACTCAACACTTGCTCAGACACCTTCCATGGCTCCCTATTGTCCCTCTAGTGAACTCCAACACCCCTTGTAATCGAGCCCAAGACGTCCTGTCCAGTCCCAACTCCGGCCCCTGCCCCAAACGCCCCACCCCACCCTCCTGACGTACTCCCACGTCCCACCCGCACGTCACACGTCCCTGGGCCCTAGCTTTGGGGGTGCGGTTCCCTCTTCCTATCCACTCTTCCCACTCAAAGCTGCGGCAGCCGTCGGTGAGCTCTCCCCTCCCGAGCTCTTCCTGCCTGCCCTGGACTCAGCTCCGTGCCAGGAAAAGTCTGACGTGGAAGTTATTAACTCGAAGTATTTACTGAGCACCTACTCTGCACCAGGCTCTGGGAAACCGGGGGTGAGGTCACAACACAGACTAGTCTCATGATCCCGTGGCTCCGCTGATGCCCCTGCACGTTCGGGGCGCGCCATCTTCGCTCCCCAGGCAGCCTGCCCGGCACCCAGGGTGCTTAGTGGAGGTGGCATGACTCCTGAGAGCTTACCTCCCCCCAGAAGTGGGGAGCATGCCTCTTCACTGCTTCTACAGAACAATCCTTAACAGAACAAGATACGTGGTCCAGCAGAATAGGGGCGCGCCTGGGGTAAGCTCTGCCGTGTGACCCTCACCTCCCTTTCCGAAGCACAAAATTATAAGGATTCGGTTAGAAAACAGGAGTTACCCCAACGGCACAGATGCCAGCGACAGCTCTTAGCACAGGACCTGGCCCCATAAATGCCCACCTCCTTCCCACTCTCTTCCTGTCACCTGCTGGGGACACTTGTGTACCCCATGATGTTCAAGAGATGCTGTGGACAAGATGTACGCGAGGATGGGCGTGCAGAACAACCCCCCCCCCCCGGTCACTTCTGGCAAATGGCCACCCTCGCAGACCCTGCTGCCAGCTACTGTCTGGAGAACCCCCTTCTTGTTCTAGTTATCAAAATACTATGGGTTTGTGGTAAAACACTGAGAAAATATGGAAAAGCACGGGAATAACCTTTGAAAACAACCCATCACGCAGGGACGATATCCTGCCCAGGAGCTCCCGGGGATCTGCTTATCCACAGCGCCATCGGTACTGGCTGAGGGAGGTTCCCCTGGATGCACAGAGACAATGCTGTTCGTTTAACCTCAGGTGGCTAACCTGGTCACCGTTCTCATCATCAACATGACGAACGTCCTCGAGGTGAAAGCACCATCTCTGTGGTCATTCCCACAGGAGAAAGCCTTGGGTACCAACAGCCGGGTCAAGGGAGCCTGTTCGTAAGGCTTTGCTCCTGGTGAGCAGTCTGCCTGATCTCCGGGCCCAGGGGCAGCGTGTAAGGGTGGCTGTCAGCACACCTTCCAGATGAAGTCAGTCCCACTTGGGGGACTTGGATGCTTTTGTTACCAAAGGTCACCTGATATTTTCAGATGCCCGGACCCGCTGACAGAAGTCTGCCTGGACCCAGGAATAGAAGGGGCCATCCGAGTGTGCTCCCAGCTGCTTACTGTTTTCAAAGATGCGATAGACTCAGTGTCACCTAATCCCCTCCAGGAGCCCCAGTCGGAGGTCAGAGGCTGGAGTCTGGGGGTTCCTCTGGGAGAACGGACGGTGTGGTCTCGGGCAGTCTGCAGACGCGGCGAGTTGGACGCTGGGCCTGTGGCCTGTGTGCTAAACTCAGCAGAAAGCAAGAGGGGTGACCACTCAGGGGACAGCTCACAGGGCGGGGGGCTTCCTGTCCCAGCTGCGTGGCCTGGCCACGTGCATCCACCCATCCAGGCCTCAGTTTCCTCGGTGCAAACACAAAGGTTGGTTTGAGGCTTCGAGAAATGTCCTCTGCAAAGCGTTCAGCTCGGCGCCTGGCACATACAGGTGCTCGGGAGAAGGACCCATTTCATGACCCTCCCCAGGCAGGGGACGCACCTCAGCCAAGCATGATTCTTCTCAGGTCCTCAGACCCCGAGAGGCAGAGGCAGGGATCTGCGGGTGGGGCTCCCATCAGAAGGGCACGTTTCACGGGCTGCTGAGGGTGGAGTTAGGGCAGGAGGCCGGGCCCTTGCTTCCTGCCCCCTCTGGACAGCCCTGGATGGCTGGGGCAATGGTGTCCACTCCACCCGTGGGCCTCCCGCAGAGGGAGCTGGGCTCCAGGGCGGGGCGGTGCCTGCTCCCTCTCCTGCCCTACACCAGACTCAGGATTGGAGAGGAGGCTCCCTGGCTCCCCCGACTCTCTCACCCTCATGTCCTTCCAGAACATTCCACCCTGCCCCCCTCATCTCCGGCCTCGTCCCATATATTTTCTGCACATTACACTTTCCAAAACCAAAACCTGAGCCTGCGGGGTCCCTCAGGATGAAGCTCCAAATACCCTGAAGATGGCTTGTGGGCCCCCCATTAGTGGGGCTCTTTTAGTGCCCCTTCCCCAGGGTCCCCCGCCCCTCCGAGGCCCTCCCTTCAGATTCCTCAGTCCTCCCCCTCACCTGCAGACCTGCTGAGCAGCCCCACCTCTGCCTGGGGTCACAGTCCAACTCTGATGGCTCTTCCTCCAGGGAGCCTGCACTGAACTCTCCCCCATGAAGGCTGGCTCAGCACACTGCCCCCGACCCCGGCCCCAGGTCTCTGCTCTGTGCTGTCCGACACGGTAGCTCCAGCCATGACTGGCTTTTGAAATTTAATTTAAATTAATTAAAAAGTAAAAGTGCTAAGAATTCAGGCCCTCGGGGGCGGTGGCTTCACTTCAAAGGCTCTACAGCCTGAGTGCCCACCACGGCGCACAGCATGTACACAGGGCATTCCCGTCGGTGCAGAGTTCTCGCGACAGCCCCGCTGTGGAACTTCCCACGACGTAACCGTTATAATTGGCCTGTTTCTCTTCCTCTCCCCTGGGACCAGAACTGTTTCTGGAGCCACGAGGCCTGCATTTGAGTCCGGGTTCCGTCCCATCGCAGCTGTCTGCCCTTGGGGAAGTCACTTAACTTCTCTGCGCCTCGATGTCTAGACACGGCAGAGGGGAAGTGTGTGGTTCAGTGCCGCCTCAGACACTGCTCTTTCCCACAGACGCCTCTCCCACCCCCCAAGTCGGAAGGAATGTAGGGGTTAGGATGATCTAAGGGAACTCATCTTACAAATGAGGCTTAAGAAAGCAAGCTGTTCACCAGTACTTTCTCCCGTCGGTACCCTGGTGACCACTGTGGACTGCAAACTGTTCCTGTCTCATGCCTCCAGCAGACCCTGGCTTGAGCTTCACTCCCAGGGCTGCAACACCTTGAGATCAACCACAAAAACAGGCCTAAACTCTTCTAGAAACTTCCTAAAAGTCAGATTTTTTATTTTGATTACTATTTTTTTTATTGATTTTTATCTTCAGATAGAGCAGGAAGGAGAGAGGAAGCAAGAGAGAGAGAGAGAGAAACATCGATGTGACAGAGACACATCGAGTGGCTGCCACCCACACGACCCCAACCGGGGCCGGGGACAAACTGCAACTGAGGTACGTGCCCTTAGCGGGAACTGAACCCGGGACTCTCTGGTCCGCGGGCTGACACTTTAACCGCTGAGCCAAACTGGCCAGGGCTAAAGATCAGATTTTTAAAATTAGCTTTAGGTCAGGCTGTTCTTCCAATTCAGTTTTGCCTCAGAGGCTATAAACACCCTCACTGTCTGCAGGCCAGGGGATACCTGCAAGGGAGTCTGGAAGCACACGTGAACTGACGAGCCGTTGGGGGAACACACGTGTTCATATTAGCCCCCCATTCGGGTGGCGCGCTGGACTTTTTTGACATGCACTTCTGGTGGCTGTCATCAAATGAGGATCATCAAAGCTTATCGATTCGATTGACAAGGACCCTGGAGTCCTCCCTGCTCAGAGGAGAAACTGAGG